GCTACATAGAGCGCGGTAGTGCAGTGTGTCGCCAACCGAACGGCCCTTTGACAGTACCAAGGGGCGGACACTCTTANTCAAATTCATCGGAGCGTAACAGGTTTAAATAAATTATTATAACTCGTTTAAAAGAAAATTTTATTCTAGAATAGTAATTCTTAACGTGGAATGCACCACCCCCAGATATGTTAGGTGCATTCGTTTACCTAGTTTACATATTTACGTCAATTTGACGTCATTCTTATATTTTTGTTACGGGAAAGTGTAAAGTTACATCAGATTGACGTAATAGTGTACTATAAGTTTTATGCGGTGGATACGTTCTACAGAAAAACGCATATAAAAAATTCGCATAAAAAAAGACTTTACTTGCCTTGAAAAAGTAGGGATACGTTCTGTAATTTTCTAAAAACGCATAAAACCAAAACGAGTTAAAATTAACTTAAAACCGCATAAAAAAGTTTGCAGAAATTAAAAGAAATAGGCTGCTTAATAAATTACTTCGAATGTCTGAAAGAAATTCATATAAAAGCTTAAAATAAACTTGTATTCAGACTTAATTCAGTTTATTTTATTGAAAAGTAATACGGCCAGCTAGTATAAAAAATATACGGCCAGATAGTGTTCACCCTACTTTAAACCCTTGTCCTCCCGCAACGTCTATGAGAATGCCCCGGGAAATCCAACTCCAGCTGTGTTCAAGGTCATCCAGATGTGTAAACAATGACCCATCGGTGTTAAATTTCACAGACGGGCGAGACAAAGGAAGTTAAACTTTGAAGCTTTTTCTTCAAAATTAACGCATTTCTTTCGTTTTTTTTCAGTTTTAAGTATTTTTTATGTTTAATTACATTTATATCAAAAATTGCTAGGAACTAAAGCGATTAAGGTAGATCTAGCTGTCCTTTACATCCATAAACGTTATATGTCAGTGGAACAAATGGAGTGAGCTTTGAGCGTTCCACGATTTTTGGAGACTGTCTATACGCGGGCTTCCTAAACAAGCCTATATGTATGTTTGTCCAAGAAATTTTTGGATGAAATACAAACCGCACAACTTCAAAATCGCATAAAAATAATCCGCATAAAAAGAGACCTTACAGTACACGATATTGGCAAAACGAATGCACCCTTTGTATTACAGACATTTAACAATTATACATTTAATTAGTAACAAAGTTTATAAAGAACACTTCAGATAAACATCCTGAAAACACTCATATTTATCTGAGTCTCACTTCAGTAAAAGTTTGAGAAAAATCCACCAAAGGCCTTCAATCACATAAGCTGTGCATAAAGATAGAATACACGTGAAAAAATAGAATTCTACTTTCTTAAATTAACAAAAGAAATATAAGGGGGTGCTAGAGCACATTTTAAAAATTTAACAGGGGTTTTGCAACAGAAAAGGTTAATAATCACTGCTATAGAATTAAAGATAAAATTTTAAGTAAGGAACAATTTTTTCTTTGTATATATACAAGGAAAGAGATATATATATCTAAATTTTTGTATTATATCTAAAAGAATCCTATTTTTTTGTGAAATGACTTCTACATTAACATTTACTATGAATGTCATATAACCATCAATAAGAAAAGATGTTAAAAGCATTGAGATGTAAAGATACAGAAAAAATCTAATAAATAGAGAAGAAAAGATTCTTGGGTAAGATATACTGTGTACAATGAGTGTATAGTATAAATAATACTAGAAAGTAAATTTTGAGACAAACAGCAGCAGAACACTCAGTGAGATGTTTCACAAAAGTATTTCAGTTAAAAGGATACACATTGAATATCAGCAGAAACAGAGATTTCAAGATTGTGATTAATCAGTCAAAGACTGAAAAACTGATCACCTTTTCTTGACATTGTTGTAAATGTCCTTCAGTAAGATGATTTTTGCAATAGTTTGTAAGCACATTAGTCCTCACATGTGTGACACCATTTATTTTTGTGGTTTCTAACTTATACATGCAGATTGTGCAATCTGTGCTCTAATTCACAAAAGCATATTGATTTTGTAAACAAAGTATATTTATAAAATCAGTATATCCTTATGAAACATATTGATATATTCCATAAGTTTATGATGAATTATTTAAATGAATAATGGATTTCAGCACTGGAAACCATTCTCATAAATCTCACAATGATATCTCCTGATAGTATATATCTGATTGAATTGCTTCTTCTGATCTGTTGTTGGGATAGAAATGTTTATCTTATCTTTTGAATAAAATTTAATTTATTGTATAACAAGGGAATTCATTTTCTGATATGTAATCATTTTATTAACATTTTGGTAATTTTTTCTACCTTAGATCAATCCTATTTGCCTATAAAAATTAGCATAATGCACATAATACTTTTTATTGTAGTGACAAATTTGATAAGGACTCTCATGATTTTCCATCAGTACAAGGACTTCCTTTTATCATCCATACTATGGATGACAGAATGAAAGTAAGCTTGAAATACAAGAAATTAATCAAAGAGTTAAATCTCAGCTTTCACTTAATTTCATATGTCAATATTTATATTGAGAATTGTGTCTTTGGGAATACCGAATTTTGCTTCTATAATTCAGACGATTACTTAATAAATACATGCTGTATTTCGGCATTAACTTATCAGTTTTATTAAAAGATTACTTATATTAGGAAAACANATGGAAAATAATTATATCATTTGATTTCAAGATATTTTGTATACCTTAAAAATAATTAATTCTATCCCGGGATTTCCCGGGATCCCGGGAAACAGTTCACTTTTATCCCGGGATCCCGGGACAAGCAAAAGACCGGGAAATGAGAAACCCTAATAATTACATCACATACATGTATTTATGTTCAAGTCAAAACATCTTAATAAAAATACCAAATAATTTCTGTTCAAATCCCAATAAATTACTGTAATACAGTAGTCATATTTTGCTATTGTGTATTGCATATGTGTATTTTTTGACTTTATGATTTATACATGCTAGGTTAGTAAACTTCTTGTTAAATTTGTGTTAAATCAGTTTTCCAATATATGGCCCAATTTTCCTTTCTGTGTTAGACAGGGTCCACTATAGACAGGTTAATTTACTTTAATTTTTGCAAAAACTTCAAGGGACCAAAGAAATTTTCTGTTAACAACAGATTTTCACTATATATAGGTTCCGTTATAGACAGGTTTGACTGGATCAACCAAACCAAAAATATGCTAATATGAAATACAGAAGTTAATGTTGGCCATAAAATTTATTTTTAAAACAGGATATTTTATTGCTAAACATTCAACATCTATACTAAAAGAGTATAATTTTGGTATTTACCATATTTGACAATTATGAAATTGGTATTTAATAGGAATAATGAATCTGTAAGATATTCATATATTTTACAATAATTTTTTATGTTTTATTGACTATCAGTTTTTCATAAATTAAGGACAAAATCTCAAATTTAAAGTTTAGTGTTTCAATTTATTGCTCTTATTATTTATGATAATCCTAAGGACATGACAATCCATTTTTAAAACTATTCAATAAATTATAAAAATACAATGAAATAGTTAAAATAAAATAGACAAGACAAATCACAAATATTAACTCAAAAGTACAGAAAAAACTCAGGTTTCTGGTGTTAAATAAACATTTTTAAGTAATCAAACATTTCCAAAATTCTTTAGAAACATAACAAGCAAACTGAAATAAGTGAATTCTATATGTAGTCTAGTTTGATTTTGTTGTCTTTGAATATCCTTTTGAATATTGAAAACATTTGATTTATTAAAAAGTAATGTGTAACACCAAAAAAGTCAGTTTTTCTTTACTTCAAACCAAAGAATGTAATTAATCATTAAATTTATACTAAAAATTTGTTATATGCTCAATGTAATTTGAAACTATCCATTATTTGTCCATCTTCACAATGAAAAGGCTGTGCTACATGAAGTGAAATAAGAATTAAAAAATTGTAAAATGTTAACAATAAATATCATTTGCAAATCAATTACTAAGATATTTAACTTATGTCACATTAAAAAGTCTGGGTAGATTGGTTCAATAAAACACACACAAACATGCAATTAACACTTACATGAATATAATCAATGCACACTATGAAAAGTAATGAACTGAGAGAGAAGAAACACCAGTTCCTACAAAAATGTTTCAAAATATATTCTTAACAGATATAGTTAGTGCCTGAATTTTAAAAACTGTTCAGTTGATTAGTATAACATAGTCCTTTAATATTTAAATTAATAATTGTAAACAGAGTTAAAAAGCACTTTTAAGTTTAGATAAATAACAAAAGCAGTTTTTCTTCTTTAAAAAGTTAATTTTCACTTAACATAACTGTAAAAAACTTACAGTAGTTGATAGATTGAGAGCAAAACAATGTTGAAAATAAGATAGTGTGAAATAATAAATAGATAAATTTAATTGAAAATAAAACATTCCAATATTTTTTTGAATAATGCCAAATTGTTTGCAATCATTCTTGAAGTTATGTCCTGGAGAAATTTTCTTTTATATAATAACTTGTGTTTGATTAGTTTGACTGTTAGAAATTTAATCTGGGTGAATCAAGATGATCATGCAGAGATGGAGAATAACTCAAGGAAAGAATATAGGAATTTTCTAATTAAAAAATTTCAGGAAAACAGTATTTTGAGTGTTTGATTAAGGGGAATTCCATATAACACTTATTTCTTTGCACTTCCATTGTAAACCATTTATTCATATAATTGAGCCTCAGAATGTCATACTCATAACAGTATTCCCAGAAATCCACCAAGGCTCAAGCAGACACTTATCAAAAAGTTACAAAAAAGACCACTAAATTGTTGACAAAAAAATGCTAAGCCTAAATCTTTGGCTTTTATTAACAGACATTAGCTTTTAATATCAGAAATCTCTACACTGTAGATCAATTTTCTGGAATATATTACCCTTTTTCTTTGAAACTGCATTTGTGTACTAACTAAATTCATATTAAATACTTCTTTGAAAAATTCATTTATCATCTTGTACTTTGCTTTTATTTTTTTCGTATTCCTCGTCGATACGTGTATGCTCAACTCTAATCATCTCTCTTAACTCATCCTGAAAAAACATACATCAAAAGAATTCAATTTCTGAATAAAACATATAAAACTTTTTCATTTAATTATACTTACACCCCATCCTAAAGAATCTGCTAAGTTTTGGCATCCATCATCACAATTTCCTTCCCATACAACATCTCTAAAATAAAAATTTTATTTAACAAAATAACTTTGTTAAAATTTTTTCCTATTTTCTAAATTATAGTAATAACTATTATCGTTATAATCACTTTATTCTGAAGTATAATCTAATTACATTAAAAAACACTTNGTGAAAAAATAGAATTCTACTTTCTTAAATTAACAAAAGAAATATAAGGGGGTGCTAGAGCACATTTTAAAAATTTAACAGGGGTTTTGCAACAGAAAAGGTTAATAATCACTGCTATAGAATTAAAGATAAAATTTTAAGTAAGGAACAATTTTTTCTTTGTATATATACAAGGAAAGAGATATATATATCTAAATTTTTGTATTATATCTAAAAGAATCCTATTTTTTTGTGAAATGACTTCTACATTAACATTTACTATGAATGTCATATAACCATCAATAAGAAAAGATGTTAAAAGCATTGAGATGTAAAGATACAGAAAAAATCTAATAAATAGAGAAGAAAAGATTCTTGGGTAAGATATACTGTGTACAATGAGTGTATAGTATAAATAATACTAGAAAGTAAATTTTGAGACAAACAGCAGCAGAACACTCAGTGAGATGTTTCACAAAAGTATTTCAGTTAAAAGGATACACATTGAATATCAGCAGAAACAGAGATTTCAAGATTGTGATTAATCAGTCAAAGACTGAAAAACTGATCACCTTTTCTTGACATTGTTGTAAATGTCCTTCAGTAAGATGATTTTTGCAATAGTTTGTAAGCACATTAGTCCTCACATGTGTGACACCATTTATTTTTGTGGTTTCTAACTTATACATGCAGATTGTGCAATCTGTGCTCTAATTCACAAAAGCATATTGATTTTGTAAACAAAGTATATTTATAAAATCAGTATATCCTTATGAAACATATTGATATATTCCATAAGTTTATGATGAATTATTTAAATGAATAATGGATTTCAGCACTGGAAACCATTCTCATAAATCTCACAATGATATCTCCTGATAGTATATATCTGATTGAATTGCTTCTTCTGATCTGTTGTTGGGATAGAAATGTTTATCTTATCTTTTGAATAAAATTTAATTTATTGTATAACAAGGGAATTCATTTTCTGATATGTAATCATTTTATTAACATTTTGGTAATTTTTTCTACCTTAGATCAATCCTATTTGCCTATAAAAATTAGCATAATGCACATAATACTTTTTATTGTAGTGACAAATTTGATAAGGACTCTCATGATTTTCCATCAGTACAAGGACTTCCTTTTATCATCCATACTATGGATGACAGAATGAAAGTAAGCTTGAAATACAAGAAATTAATCAAAGAGTTAAATCTCAGCTTTCACTTAATTTCATATGTCAATATTTATATTGAGAATTGTGTCTTTGGGAATACCGAATTTTGCTTCTATAATTCAGACGATTACTTAATAAATACATGCTGTATTTCGGCATTAACTTATCAGTTTTATTAAAAGATTACTTATATTAGGAAAACATAATTTAATTTTTTTTTTGTTTGAAATTTTAATTATCTAAAACTAATAAAGATATTGAATATTGAAACTGTTATTTTCAATTTGAATATTTAAAAATATCTTTTATGTGCAATTTTAAAATTTCTAATTATCATGCTTGTGAATTTGATAAATTTAAACTGAAATATTAAGTTAATTTTTATCAAAACAATATCCATTATAAAAATCCTATTTCTTTTTAAATGAATTTTTCATAATAAAAATGCAAATTTTATAACTATAGACACAAAATATACTATTAAACAAATGAATGTAGTCTTAAGCTGTCAAGAAAAGAACAAATAAAATTTATTTTTATTGCTTTCATACTTGAAATTTTTTCTTTGATCTTCTACAATTAAGAAAAAAAGTTTTTCAAGTAGAAAAATGACATTTATATTTTGGTTTATTATATTTAACAACAAGTTCAACAAATTTATGTAGAAAATAATCAAAATATTGTTATTATAGTTTAGTTTTCTAAAGACAGTCAACAATATAAATTTTTTTTATTTACATTTTTAAAGAAAATGTAATGTCACCAACCACAATAATAATAATAATAGATAATATTAAATACTTCTTTGAAAAATTCATTTATCATCTTGTACTTTGCTTTTATTTTTTTCGTATTCCTCGTCGATACGTGTATGCTCAACTCTAATCATCTCTCTTAACTCATCCTGAAAAAACATACATCAAAAGAATTCAATTTCTGAATAAAACATATAAAACTTTTTCATTTAATTATACTTACACCCCATCCTAAAGAATCTGCTAAGTTTTGGCATCCATCATCACAATTTCCTTCCCATACAACATCTCTAAAATAAAAATTTTATTTAACAAAATAACTTTGTTAAAATTTTTTCCTATTTTCTAAATTATAGTAATAACTATTATCGTTATAATCACTTTATTCTGAAGTATAATCTAATTACATTAAAAAACACTTATGAAAATTAGTAACAGAAAAAAAATTTAATTGATAATATTTATGGGTCAAAAACATATTCAAAATTTTAAATTCTAATATGAATCTCTTTTGGAGCCACATTTGAAGAGTCAATTTATTTTAATAGGCTAAATATTACAGGATTAAACTGAGAGAGATGTTTTCTTTAAATTATTATAATTAAAAATTTTTAAATCAAATATATTTATCAATTTTTTAAGTATTAAAAAAATCATTACTTCTAAAATTTATTATCTGAATTTAATTTTGTAATTAACTCTCATTGAACTAAAACTTTTTCTGATATTTTCATATTTTATTTGGAAATTGTGAGGAAAAAATTAAAATTTACCTGTAATTTTTGTCTGAATCAAAATTCAATCCTGAGTGAAGACCCACTAGTTGAGCAAAAAAATTTGTCTGAAATATTAAAATAGAATCAATTTACATAATTTTGTAATTTCTTCTTTTTTAATGAAATAAAAGATTAATTTATTTTACTTGACCACATTTTTCTTTATTTATTAAGAGACGAGGTGTTGCTGGTGAAACACTAAAGAAAGAAAAGTGAAAAATTTATTACTAGATGTTAACTGCACAAATATTAGTTAGAAAATAAATAAATTTATATAATTCAATAATTTTTAAATAAATTTTTTGTGGGTACTTTGATTAAACAGTTCAATCAATACAATTAGAAATACAATAAAATTCTATTTACTTTAGTCTTATTGTAGAAAATATTTAAACAATTATGACAGTATAAATATATAAACAACAAGATTTTTTAAATATTTTCTGTTTATTAGCAGAATCGATATTATTATACATTTCTTTAAAAAAAAAATATTTATCAACTGAAATCTCAAATTATATAGTGAAGAGCAAAAATCTAGAATGGCTTATTAATATTTTCTTAGTGCATAAACAAAATATCTCAAGTATCTGAGAATCTAGTGTAATGTTACAATGTAATGTAGTCTGTTTTACAGTATTAAAATCAACATTTTATTCACAATTGCAAGTACTTTTGGTAGTTTACAACTATCCTCTTCAGGATGATTCAGTTAGACTCAAATAAAACAAGATTTTTCATATTTAAATATGAAAAATCTTGTTTGACATTTCCAAACTATGGATCACATTATATAATCAACTAAAATCTTAACACTATGGATTATTATGTAAAAGTGCATTTCATTTTTATTTTGTTTTTAAAAATTTATTAACTTTTATTTTTAAAGGCTTCTAAATTTATCATCAAATTTCAAAATTTCTTACATTCCATGGATACGTGCTTGAACATTTTTTAAAAAAAAGTTACTCATTATGTTCTTATTTTATTTAAATATGATAAATCTTGTTCAATTTAAATTAATTGAATCAGTCTGAAGAGGATAGTTGTAAACTACCAAAAGTACTTGCAATTGTGAATAAAATGCCATAAGACAGAATATGTTACATTGTAACATTACACTAGATTATTATTTGGTGTGAGGTGCAATTAACTTTCTTATATCATGGAGAAATTTATTAGTATTCATTATCTAAAATAACTTTTAAATATTAGTTCTGGGAAATTCCAAATATTTGAGAATACCAGCATTTTTTTAAAAATGTGAATATTAAACTGCTTAAATTTTAACCATTATGGGATTAAAACTTAAACAATAATTATGACAGACACAAAAACAATCAGTCATACAATTTGATTCTACTTATTATTTTAAATTAAATTTTTGAATATTCTTTCAATATATAAATTATACTTACTTATCAACTAAACTTGCAAAAGGTTGAACAGTAAGAGAAGTACCAATTATGATTAAAAGATCACACATTGGAAAATCCTATTAAAAAATTAGCAAAAAAACAATTACTTATAATTAAAAATTATTTTTATATACTACTATTATATACTGACCTCTTCTACACATTCAAAAAATCTTTCTGGAAGATGTTCACCAAAGAAAACAATATCTTGTTTAAAGAAACAATGTAATATAACTAAATATTCTGAATTTATATTTATTTATAATGTAAAAAAATAGAAAATATTATGTTTTTCCATAAGCCCCTCAATTATTTAAAATAACCAGACATAACAAAATAATCTTATTATTATTATCAGTACATTAAAAATATGTACAGCAAAGTATTGCTATAGTAGTTATAGTTAAATAAGTTCAAAAATTAAATTATTATATTTGAAAGTAAGAAATTTGCTTTATGCAAAATATTTTAACACTTAATTTTTTCAAATTTGAATAATTTACCTGGTTTTACTATGCTTTCACATTTAGAACAGGTGGGAATAACATCTGAGAAGATTTTCTCTGTTTTATAAAATAATTATAAGTTAATTTAAAGTTTGAAACTTCAATAAACAAGTTTAAAGAAAATTATAAATAAAATTTTATATATACAAAATTAAAT